TCCGAATCAGCACATCAAGAACGTCAAGCGAAATTACTAACTCACACACAATATAAAATACTTATATGTTCACATGAAACAGGACTCTGAGTACAGTCCCATGCCATACACACATTTAAGTATTCGATCCCAATATTGCCCGCTCCGAAGCAAACATAACATTTACGCCCTAAATTTATTATTAACCTAACAAATTATAATTGCAAATTGTTACCACGCTAAATAATTCGCTAGAATGAATAAAATCATTGTTTAAATATGAAAAAAAAATTGTCTAATACAAAAAAATGGTCGCGCGCCTTCAAATTTCATTATAAATTCGTAACCGGCCTTTGAAATTAAAATCTCGAAGGCGTTTTGTTTTATATTTGAAGTGAACGCGACTTACAACACAAAGAAGCGTTGCATGTGGTCAAACCATTCTCCAAATTCTCCGCTACATCAATCTTATGTTAATATTTGTACATTCATTTTGTATATCTTTATGTACATTCAACCCGCTTCCATCCTACTTGCCTTATCCATATGTCGTATAATATAATACAAAAAAATGAAGTCAACTAATAAATTTCTAATGTAAAATCACAAGTAGTGCTATTCTTACTGTTAAGAAATTTTATATTTTTTTTTCATATATAAAAAAGTCGCTTAAAAAAATCACAGACAATCACTTTCCCCTTTACAGACATATACCATCGATCGATTCCCTTACTAAGCGTTGTTACTTCTACGTACAAAAATCTACTTAGTTTTACAACCATGGTGGTTTACATACAATCTTACAATCGATCCTAACACGATTTTATCATCCTAACATGTACTCGGGCGAGTACGTCAGTATACCCTTGTTCGTCGCGAGACACAAACCAAATCAAAGCTAAATTATACGCATACGTATCATTATATGCAAGGTTCCGTGCTTTTGTTTTACCTAATTATATTTCTCTTTTAAAACTGTATGTAGCTATAATGCCTCTGTTATAAAATAGTTCTTTTGTACGTAATAATTTGGTAGTCTTCAGTTTTGATGGCACGGAACCCTAATACCATGAACAAACATTAAGAGGAAAGTAAATCTAACATTCTCGAACATTCCATTATCCATCCGCGGGCTGTCCGTACATAAGTCGTCAAATTTCACCCGTATTCCCTTTGTACTTTTCACGAATAAACTACGCTAAATAATATAGTACTGATGATGCACCAAAAATATAATTTGGGCAACATATAAAATCCGATATTTCATATTATCTTTTATTTAATTAAATTTGTACTGGCAGTTATTTCTAAGACTTTCCAATTTGTACTATAGTTGTTATATAATGACCGTGTTCGTTGTACCTTATGTGTTGTTAACTTATGTTATTACAAGTAAGTAGACATTCATTCGAATTCGACATTAAGGATATAGTAAAAGTGACATCAAGTTATACGACCAACTTAATAAGTTAGATGTGTAAATATGAAATTTATATTTATATGTACATTTACTGATTAACACATTATCTCAAAACTACATTTAAGTACATCAAATCCATTAAAACATTACCAAGGGCAATATTTACACACGAATAACAAATTAAACAACAAATATAACCTTTTTTTAAATAAAAAGAATAAAAAATAATTTAATTTATTAAATAATATTGCCCCTTGAAATATTAAATATTTTTTTTTAAATTCATTTTTTTTTTTATACAAAAAAAATTTGAAATTTTTTGAAAGTGTCGAAGTGAGGATGATAAATTTCTAGAATGTTCCATCTGTAGTTTACCTACTCTTTGGTGTTATATGGCTTTAAAAACACAGACATTTTGAAAACCTCCTCTTTTTTGAAGTCGGTTAAAAATGCAGCTGTAAAATGGTATTCATTTAAGCCATGTTTACGAGTACCGAGTCCAACTGTGTGTAAACCATTTGTTATAGTAATTTCAATCTCGTTAAATTTTTTTAAACTTCAATAACATTTTCAATACACGCTGTATCCACGAAATCTCAGATGACGAGCTGAAGAGAGTCGTGAAGTTCTCTAGCGAAATCCGCAGTGATGATGTTACCAATACGAATTATGTCTACAAAAGACTAAGAGAACGCTTATACATGATGTTTCTTACGGTCAAATTCGTTGATGAATCCTTGAGAATATCTTACTGTTGAATGTTAGTACACCCTAAGAATATAAACATCGAATGATCATTGAAATATTTCTGATCGAGTGCAAGTTTAGGTACAATTCGAATATTCTTAAATAATTTACTTAAAATTACAATAAACATTAAACACGATGGACGGGTGTAACTTGTCGAGATAAAACAAAAATAAAAAAAAAGGATTTGGATGAAGAATAGCATAACGGGTAAAAGGGAAACGAAAAAAAAAACAAAACAAAAAAATAATTTTGTTACAATTTTTAATTCGCAGAAACCTAACAAACAATAATTTTTTCATTTTTCATCTCCTTAAAACATAGTAACATCTATGCAACACAAAAAATTAACTGGGGAAAAATTAATAATAATAAAGTTATGAATTAAAATGTTTTATACTCCGGAGAGTGAAGAAAGGTACATTTAGATTACGTCAAAATACTCGTGGCCAATCCCCGACACGCAATGTGCTATAAAATGAGGTAGAACATCAGTGAGATTATTATAACTAACCTAATTAACACTTATATACTAAAGTTTTAGGAGCCTAACTCAGGCCAGAGGTAGATTTATATTGCCCGCGGTAACATCTCGACTTACTTGAGCCAGTCGCCGAGTCAAAGCACTCACTACTCAACAGAGATTCAATTCACGTTTATTTAACTCCACATGCATTTTTTTTCAATAATTCAATAAAATTGTATGAACAAACGTACAAATCTCAACAACATTACATTAATTTAATCAATAGACATTCACTTAAAATCTGATATACATTTAATAATATTGTTAAAACGTTAAAAATCTGTGACGGCCTTAAAATCCGTATATCTATCTAGACATGAATCCTGAGGTAGCTTTTTTGTACTCTTTAATTTTTTTTTTAATTTTTCTTAATACACTTAACATCTAGAGTTTTAATTTTTTTTTCTTCATATAAAAATCTATTTAAAAGCTTACTTACGACTAAATTATATTCCTCGAGGTAGATTAACTTACAAGCTAAGTGAACCGGCCAGCATTGTATATTTATAATGCGTTTGAAGATTAAAACATCGAAGATCGACGTCAAAGACATAGTTGTTATCTACATATATAAATAAAATTGAACTGTCTGTATATAATATTGAAAAAAATAGTAAACATGATGTGTTTCCGTAGCTGATAACCAAAAACCATTTTTCTTTATCTGTCTGTCTGTTCTCAAGGTCGCGTTTGTTCCGGTTAATCTCCGGAACAGCTGCACCGATTTTGACAAGACTTTGATATTGGTTACTTTTTAAATCTGACAAAGTCGCGGGCGGCCATGGAGACAATATGAATATACAACACTGCTCGATCCATGTGACGGCAGAGGGTCACCATACCCGTAACAATCTTTGGCTTTACCATCACGATACATCGCGACATATTTACAATTAAAAGAAAACTTAAAAAAAAACTAAACAATAGATATAAAAGATAAACGAAGCGAAATTAAAATAAGCAAAGAAAATGTATAATAGAATTAAAAAATATTTGATTATCCATTCTGATGCTCCTTATTTAATGGTAACAAGTTTTGAGCGTATCATTAGATTTTACCTACATTTTTGTGTGATTTTAAAAGAAATATTTAAAATAATAAGACGAAAGAAACTTAAAACACGAATAGAAACAATCACTGGCCACGTACGCCAAAGACTTGAGATCCACGCGATCCGTGACGTACCTACCGTCCACCAAACATTTTCTTACTTAAACATCGAGCCACAAAGGTAAGGGGATTGACCCGAGCGATCGGGATTGCATACACCGACTAAATGTGAACTCTTATCACATCAATACAACATTATAACTATTGGGGACATCTAGTAAATTGCCCTCTTACATTAGTTATAACAATGCGACAGCTTAATTTAGACAAATTATCCGAATGTTAGTATACTGACCTTTGTACATTCATTACGTCGTACCGTCGAAAGAAAATTGTTTTTTTTTTTAAATTATTGTTACAGAAAAAAATAAATCGACAATATTGTAATCTACAGTACCTTATAAATTTAGAAAAAAAAACCGACCAAAATAACAGCGTACTTTAGTGTCGACCGTCATGACTCCACGCGATACCCCTCGATGACTTATCAAAAACAAAACGAAAGAAATCTAAAAAACTTGATGCATTAATGCAATTCTTTTTTACATATCACAAAAAACATTAAATGTCAAAAAGAAATCACAACTATGAATTTTGAATTCATAAGAGAGAGAAAAAAACAAAATGATAAAAACAGAACAATATTTTTTTCATCCCGCTTTTTTATAATAAACATAATTGTCAACAATTTATAATTGAAACAGGAAAAATGTTTCCATTTAACAATACAAATACGCCTACGTAAGAAAGAAAATTATAAATCTGTTGAATAGCACAAAAATTGTTATAACTTGGGCATAATATAAATTTTGACAAAAAAAAACATAAAAAAAGTTTTACTATAAACAAAGCATGGTTTCAAAAAAAGTGACATCGAGGTTTTTTAAAAATTCGCAACTTTGAGTTTGATATTTAAAAAAAAAACTTCAATTATTTTTAACGTTATTAAATCAAAATGAAATTGAATGAAAAGTAACAAATAAGATGTAAAAAATTACTATCTTTTTAAATTTAATAAAATTTGAAAGACACTAAACCCAAGCATTACAAATGTGTTTTTATATATTTCTGTACTGAACGTCAAAAAATTATCTTTTTAATACTGGCAGTTATTTATAATTCGTTTAATTGTAGTCAATAAAAATATTGTGGTAATAAAATTACAAATCAGTTAAAAAAATGTTACAAAATATAAAAAAAATATATTACTGCTGAGGTATAACATGCGTTTATTTGATTGTTTTTCGTTTAAATTTAATTTGATTTTATAAAATTGTAAAAAATAAACTATTATTGTGTATGACGTGACATTACTAGTATTTCGATCTTGTGTAACTATTTATACTCCGTTTTACGAAAAAAAAAACTGTATATAACGAACCACTTAAATAGAAAAAAAATTGATGACACCTAAGATAAAGAAATCACTGAGCCTTCATAAAGCAAATAGTATATAATAATTCAGTGTATCCTAAATTATAAATAAATATGAATGCAACTCATTCCTAAATATCAGGAATGTAAACACGCAGTCGCTGCATCCACACTTAACAAAAAAGAGGAATAAATAAATAAAATATGTGAACTTAATGAGGATATTTGGCACTGTCCCACTTTAAGTTAAACTTAGTAATTGAATAGCTCGGATATTAAATGTTAGGTTTAAAAGACCGCGGCCGCCGGCGCCGGCGCACACACGTTATAATACAATTGCGCCGACAACGCAACTTAATTAAATATTTATCTTTTAAATCTCAACCGGTTGCACTTGTCATGACTAGGTAAATAAAAGTAGCAAGTGTCCTTCTTATAAATGCACTATCATTAAACAAAACAACGGAATGTTAAAATCGACACCATCGCGTTAAAACATATAATAATTTGGTCTCAATAGTAACATCCGCGCAGGCGATGCGACCCGGTGCGAACGACAGTAACAGATTGTAGGACAATCATGCCTCAAAAACGTACACACAAAAAAAAATTAATAACACTTTTTTACCTAACTACTTATGTATCTAGGGCAAAATTGTACTTGGTACAAACTAAAACTGTTCGGATTCATTGTTTATACCGCTATCTCAACACTTAAAACGTCAACTTTCAATGACAATGTGGCAAAAGTTATATAGAGTTATAACAAATATAGAGCCAGTTCACTATTGTATCACAGATGCGTTTAAAAAATTACAAACTTTAACCCGTATATAACAGACTATTGCATATTGCGTATGTAATGTATATAAAAATAAAATAATAATAATTATAAATTTGCCACAAAGTCATGTTTAACGCGTGTCTCAACCTAGGCCAAGGCGTAATACAATATTCTCCTATTATTTACATACACTTAGCCTATGACCATCAGTCTCAACATCATTTCTAAGATTCCCTAGCTCAGATAATATAAAATAAGCCATGTCTCACTCGACCGAGAGCTCAAAATAAATCGTCTACAAAGGTAACTTTATCTCACAGTCAAATTAAGGTACATAACACTTCCAGGGGTACGAAAAGTAGGGTACTATATTTTTTTAAACACGGTACCGAGGTAGTAAAGACGAGCGATGAGCAACCGTTCGAAGTCAACACGTGACTGACACAATAAAAAAAACAAAATTAAGTAACATTTATAAATCGCAAAACTTCCGAAAACCTTATAAAAATCCTAAGATCAAATTCTGAGGTAGACTGTTTACATAATATGCATCATTGAGGTATAATTATTGTACGTTTTTACGAAAATAGAGACTCGGCTAGGATGACCATGATTTATAAAATATAAACGGGACAATCTTAAATCGTAATTCTAATAGAGGTCACCCTAGCCGGTCGAAGTTTCAGAGGTAGATTGGTTGTTAGAGAATTTGTAGGGAATTAAATGTAAGTCTTACTGCGTGTGGTTGGGGAGAGGGCCCTGGTGGAGGGGCGCGACGGCGTGGCGGTGCTCACGCGCAATGTGCCGGCGCACGGTGTTATTGCGCGTGAATGTGCGCGTGCAGTGAGGACACGGCACGCGGATGCCCTGGTGCCGCTGCCGGATGTGCGCGCGCAAGTTCGTCTCGTACCCGTACAGTCGCTCGCAATATGGACATTTTAGTTTTTTACCTGGAATCATTATATTATTGTGTAAAAATTTACGTTTTAGATTATAACATAACATGCACCATATTTATGATTTATCCGTTTCATCCGGCTCAAAGGAACCAATGAAATTAATTCCAAATGGAATGATAAGCGATATTAAAGGGGGACAATAGTAAACTTTTTTAGCTAAAAATAAATATCTTCGGTCTTACCATCAGCAGTAGCAATTCCTCCGGATTTACTTGTTATGATCTTAGCTGGCCAGATGTCAGGGCTCGTCTTCTGCGGCACGGGCGACGTCTCCGCTGGCTTGTCGTGGTAGTTGGTGGTCGGCATGGGCAATGCCGGTGGCGGCGAATTGTTGTACCCACCCTGGTAGTCGTTCTCACTCTTTATCCGTAAATCTGAAAAAAAAAGAAAGACTGATTGAAGAATCGTTTGGCATATAAAAGTACCACGACACTTTTAGTCACAATTTGCAATTAATTTCCATTTGCAGTTTTATTATAAATGCATATAAATATGGTTTCCTGTCTGCATGTAATTGTTTTGAGTAGCATTATAAAAAAAAACATCCTGTAATCCGAGCTTATCCAAAACAAGATCATGATGAATTATATTTTTCCCACGATGTTCATGTTATTTCCTTTAACAGTTTATATGTGTTTAAAAATTATCTATGGTTTTCCAGTTAAATAAGTACTATGTTCAATTGAAAAAAACGTACTACTTAGAGGTAGCTTCTTTTTTGTATGAGGTCTTGGAAGGTATCAGAGGACAGATTAACAGTGCTTAAGAGTACAGTATGTAAAGATGAAAAGAACCTTCAGCTCCCTGATCATTGGAGAGGCGCTCCATGTCCTCGTTGGCGCTAGCGCTGCGCTCGTAGCCGTTGTTCTTGGGGTTGGCAAGAGTGGAGGTGCACTCCGCGGGCGCGTCCTCGTAACGCGCGCCTGCCCCTGCTCCCGCGCCCCCTCCAGCCCCGGCGCCTGGCGATGACCGCGTATCCGGCTCATCCGCCACGCTGCCGCAGTGCGACGATGACGAACTTTGCCTGCAAAAGTTACAAAATATGTATCAGAAATATGAAAAAAGTGTTACTGGTCAAATAAAACCACACCTCCACGAAGCCTACGCCAACACCCAATTGGTTTGTCGACAGCTCACAGAACACTTCATAGTACCTGTAGTTCCTTGCATGCGGACTGGGTACAGTTTTGGGAGCAGCCGGTCGCCGGTGCGACGGCTGATGCATAGGCATGTGTGCCGGCGGCGCGTACCGACCCATACCGCCGCTGCTGTGTATGGGCACGCCATACTGCGGCATGATGGGCGCGAATGTGGCCGTGTGTGACTGAGGCGTCGCCTCCTGCGCCTCGCAACTCCCCGACCCCGACACCGGGCTCGTCTTGATCCTGGTCTGATGACGCTCGCCGGTCGACTGCTGTGTCTGTTGCTTCACCCAAGCGTCTTGTGACATTTCCATTGACAGGCCCTTAACCTAAAAGTTAAGTTATAAATAATTTACAAAAATCAAAAACTGCATTGGAACTGCTCAAATTTCTTACAAGACCGTTCCACGATGACGATGTAAGCTTAAGATCTTCTCCAAGACGAAATAGCAAATTAAAGTCACCTGTAAGTTTTCTCCGCTCTTGAGGAAGCTGGACAGCGCGTCCTGGCTGACGTGCACTTCGCCCTTGTACATGAACTCGAGCAACGCCTGCATGTTGTCGGCGCTGGTAGCCTCCAGGATGACATAGCAGGCGCCCGCATGGCTCGGAGGCGCGCTGTCGAACAGCTCCTGGAAGTGTTTGCTGCACGCCGCCAGTATCACCTTGTGCGCTTTGAACTGACGACCTGTAACGAAATTATACTTACAATTACTCCGAAGTTTTACTTTTGTAATGTAAATGGGAAAAGAAACAAGGGTCCGACGCGGCTGGTCACATAACTAGCTGATCTAAGTTATTGAGACGACTGGGATTAACCAGTTATATTTATATTAAAATTTTAAAACAACTGAGTCGTTGCCATCCTGTTGTTGGAGCTTGCTACACGACAATCGTCCTTGGGGTAGAAGTCAAAAGTGTATCTAATCGTAAACATATATATGGAAGTGTATACGACACCATAACGCTGACCCTTAAGACAAAACTCACGGTGGTCCGAGAGTTCTAAGAAGTGTACCGGACCATGGAGCTTAAGACGATTTGTTTTTAATTAGAAATGAAATGTTCGGTGTTTTGTAACCTTGCTAGTTTACAAATAATTCTCCGACAGAGACTAAAGTTAAATATATTATAAGCTATTAAACTCTACGTTGATAATTAGAATAACAAATATAATTAATTAAGCAAGTAATTTTGATTTCATCAATGTAAAGTTTGAAAGGTATTTTATTAAGAATATTACCTACTAAAAACCATCTTATAGAAGTTAATAGTTATTAAAAAGTTAATATTGTCCACCCACGTCTTCAAATTACACAATATCTAATTAAAATTTAAACTCATAAATTAATTGTAACTTAACCCGAATACGACGTCACTATTAATTATATATTCAACGCATAAAGATAACGGCAAATGACGTTGACATATTTGGTATTATAATATTCTATGCGCGTACATTTACCATATAAGTTCTTGTCTCTAAACGCATATATTACATCATTATTAATAAGGAAAATTATGAGGACATGTGAGTAAACTATTCGGTAATATGTCGAGTTAGCAACGCGCTTCTATGCAACAATATACGCTACCTAAACCTTGTAAGAGAAACATTTCCTGTTGCTGAGTGTAATGGCATTAGTTTACACATACTGGTACAAAATGTTACAAATTTTCCATGATAAACGCAGTATAATTATTTATCTTTATACTAGTTGTAGATCGCGACTCCATTTGCACGGTATAAAAAAACTAAGTAGACTATGTGTTCTTCTAGACTATGTCTTACATCTGTGCTATATTTCATCTAAGTTACCTTCTAACAAACGTCTGTCCATACATCCATCCTTACATTCGTATTTATGATATTAGTAAGATTAATTTAAAGTTTGAGCTTTGTTTGTGTGCACTTTTAAAGTTTGAATTTCAAAATGATTGCGTTAGTAAACTCTGCTCTCAAAAATCTATGCTTGGCGAGTTTTCTTAACGAACATTTCAATTGAAACGTAACCTATCGATGGAAATCATTAGGCAAGGTCAACACCCTTAAAATTGAGCTTCATCATGGCAACATTTAGAAACAATGGCGTCGAAATAACAAGCGATTGCCTACATCTGGAGTGTGACGTCAGAGAGCATGGCGCGGAACAAAATCATAGCCTTGGCACGGCCGTCGCATGAGATGCGGAAGGCCAAACCTAACGTCAAGACTACACCTGAGCTCCGAACTGTTTCCACTGCCGAAAAATACGTACTAAAATATATAACAGTTTCTTTTATCCTCTTTGAAAAAAAATCTACTATTGTGTAGACGTTTATCAACTACAATTCACGGAAACGCTCTTTTATATGTATGCAAAGTACGATCATTATGATAGTAGGAGGCAAACGATTTACTAGATTTTAAGGGCTTAAGAGCAACTCATAAACTTAAGGAACAATGACAAGTCCATGCTCAATTAACGTTATGAGCAAACAAAGATAACACTCTTTACCTATGTACATATCATAGACAATATAAAAAACGATGTATCGATTAACTGTTAGTTCCAAATATCGATTTATCTTTCGGTGTCGATCGCAAGTCCGCGAGCAGCCTAACTCCGGCCCTGCTCACAGCCGTTCCGCCCACAGATTATCTCGAAACACTTCCTCGTTTCGTTCTCAGCTTCATTTGTTTGCACACACTTGCACTTGATTATCGTCCGTGTATTCGTGTACGCAATAATTCGAAATTCGAATTAAAACTTCTATTAAACTGTACACAAATATTTAAACTCTGCTATTGATAATTGTCATTTGTGCAAACATAGCGTTGGCTTTTGTTTCAATTTACATTTTTAACTATGATTTAATTTATTAAGTACTTATAGTCAAATACTTAAAAAGCATGTTGAAGAAAATACAATTTTAAAACCAATGGAATCATTTATCCCTTCCATTCTCTATACTAAAGTTCTTAGTGTAATCATTTTGTAATTTGAACAGCCAATTTTTTGTATGACACTTTAATTTATAAAGTATATTAGCAACCAATATAATTTATAACTACCGACCTTTCGATATTAGTATGTAAGAACCATTAACCTACTAAATACATGTCTAATTCACATTAATAAAAATATAAGCACCGCATTAATATGTGAGAGTGAATAAAGCTATAGGAACTTGCACTTGTGGAATATTAAACCATTATATTAATATTTTACTTTAGTAACTAGCTGTCGCCTGCGATTCTGTCCGCGCGGACGGAAAATCACTTAATTAGTATCCAATGTGTTCTTCCAGACTATATTGTACATCTATGCCAAATATTAGCAACATCCATGCAGCCGTTCTAGAGATACCTTCACATAAACAAACATCCATCCATCCATCTATCCAAACATTCGCATTTATAATATAACAAAGATTTTAAATAATCAAAAATTTCGATATAACAAAAGAATGAAATGTAATTGAGAATTATAAGTGCGTCTCTAATTTAAATTTTTAGTTTTAAAAGTAGCAATGTATTACATTGTGATAGGCCTAATCTACACATAGGGAAGTGAATTAGAAATAAGAAGTCAAACGCTTAGACTAAGATAAATAGCTTTGTTATCGGATTTATCGATAAGTACGTAAATTACAATAATCGTTAGGTATTCCTAAAAGATTTGGAAGAATGACTCGAAAATGTTGAAGATGATCCGCGCGCAACAAATCATTGTGTAAAGAATTGTTATTGAGTTACAATCTGCACATTTTACGCTAAAACGCGTAAATTAGTAATAATTAAATAAGTTATCTTACTAATATTATAAAAATGCGTAATTTTAAGTGGATGGATGGATGTTTGTTAGAATCGTTATCTCCGTTAACTCAACAGATCTTGATGAAATTTGGTACAGCGAAAATACTCTGGAAGAGCAAATCCAAAATATCTCTGGAAGAAACAATTCCATTGTATACAATGAACAATCTGATTGGCACGATTAAGGAATATACTAATACACTCAACTAAATTTTCGTTGTACACACACGTTTACTTTACTTAATTGCTCGCTATAACTTATACTTAAGTAATTCAAACTTTCGTGAGATATTATAATAAACTTATATAAAAACGGCTAAACACTCACGTATATTCGTCCGGTGGCGGCACTAACTCATTGAGTGAGCGACGGGCCGCGTCCGCGAAATAATACTAATCCCACTCACCCTGATGAAGGGCCCCCGATGGGCTCGAAACTAGTCGGTGCCGCCACCGTACGAATATACGTGAGTGTTTAGCCGTTTTTATATAAGTTTATACTTAAATACTATCCTGTTCGAACCAAGACTTTATAGATGAAAACTAAAAAAACAATTGACAAACGTAACTTAATTAAAATTAGGTCAATAAACATTTACTCGTGTTTCTATGAGCTCGGGAATGCATGAGCGATCGTAACCGCAGCGCCGCGACGGAGTAACGAGGAAACAAACGACATTGGTCGACGCATGCGCTTGCAACATAGCGACATTGGCCCCATTCGGAGACCCACTAACGCTTATCTGACGGCGCTTCGTATGGCATATTTATTTTTTTCTAAATTGGAATTATACACTTCTAGTTTCGGTCACATCGTTGTTTTTAACACATTCACGTACTTACATATTTAAAAATACTTTAAAATCAAATATGTTGTTAAATAAAGCTCACGATCGTACTGCTAGATAAATGTTTCTTTTATTGTAAGACTTAACTTAGAATTTCACTGAAAATGATTTGTAATTAAAATCCATCGTAACGTTTTGTGCAATTTTATGGTTGTAAATAAATTAAAAAAATATGTTTCATAGACCAAGTGAATTTAGTGATAATGTCAAACATTTTATGATGACTTAAGTATAAGGTTACCTAGTTTTCTTTTGAATTAACCTAAAAACTGAAAACCTTTTGTATTGCTTATCTGGATTGGAATCGAATGCCCCTTCATACAAATATAGGATAAATCCACGTAATATTAATATAGTTATCTAAAATACGTAAATTCTCAACTATATAATAAAGCTGTCTAAAACCTTTAATGTTAACATTTATATTAAATATATTAACATATGTATTATCATTAAATTGTAATGTTTTATAGTCGATTCGTCGTTGACGTCATTTGACCTCGCCTAAATGTCTTCTAGTAGGAAATTCGGCCCTTTGTCCTTCATACGAAGGCGATCGATGTACCTAAAGTCGACAAATAAGCTTCCGCATATGCAATTATATAAAACAGTTATATCTAGACAAAAGGACACTAAGACTAGATCATAATATAATGGATACATACATACATATCTGTGAAAAACATACAGTTTTGTTACTGAAGATAAAAAATACCGTAAGTAATCACAGTCATCAAGTCCCCCTTATTGTTGATTGAGTATGAGAAATTTACTATAAGGACTTCAGTGTTGATTTTAAAGACTGAGTGCGGTAGCAAACCATTTCTTTTTCACATTATTAAAAGTTTCATTCATTAAAGTTATAAACTAACAAGCTATACCAAGTCCGTCTTCGGTGAGTTAAAAAAAACTTAATTAGAAGCCTATGTGTTCTTCCATACTATTTTCTACATCTATGCTAAATTTCAGCGAGATTCTTTTTTTTTGTGACTGAGTAGTCACTGTTTGCCTTGAGGAGGCATTTACAGCTTCACCGGGCTT